CCTATTGTTCTTTGATAATTTTACCAAAATATTTTCAAAACCATCTACATTCTTCATTAAGTTGAATTGTTTTGGACTGGCAATTGCAAATTCCTGGCTAATAGCCTGAGTATGGGTAGCAGAATTTGGTACTATTGTAACACAATCCCTGCAGCATTGTTTCAACTGAGATCAATAAAATAGTATCTGACAAGAAGGTTTGTAGAAGTTAACATAATTTGTTAAAAGCAAATGTTAACATTCCCAGTATAAAACATTCCTAAAGAACAGACAACAAATGATTCCTGTAAAATTTAAACAACCACATTTAGTCAATTGGCAGCCATTGGTAAATACCAGTCTGTATTTCTTGTATCAATGCCTTTTGTGATAATAAAGACATTAAAATGGGCAAATGAAAAGGACTAAGCCTCATTACACTTGATGGGTTGGTAATATAATGTAATCAACATTAATGAGAATGCTTGATTTGGCTGTCTTACACATAGTATAAATTGAAACACTTGTTTGTTTTTTCTCACACAAATATGAAGCAGTTCTAAACAGTTGAGAGAATAATTGGAGCTTTTAAAATTCATTACCTTCCCCATTTTGGATGATTTATTCTAATTCTCATTAATACTGTAGACACATTAATTATTCACTGGTAAAACATGCTTGAAAGCAAGCAAAATAATTCTATGGTTCTATCATTTTCTATGGGTACTGTATGTGATATGTGCCACTATTGCAGAAATGAAGGAAACCGATGGTATGGTAGTTGCAGATTGATACAATAACACACACACACAAACTGGAGGGAATCCTGGCCACAAAAAAACCTTGACACTGAAATTCCTTTGCAACTTAAATGTGAGCAAAGGGTAATAGGAGTGAAAATAAGTGATTAGTGAATGTGGAAATTCCTAGTTTCTGATAGTAGAATTCCTGCGTTTAATAACTCCACAGTTCAGAGTCATACATACTTGTAATAGATAGAAATTACTATGCGAACGTCTTGCATGAGGCAAACACACCAACCATCATAGGAATTTAAGGTGAGATGGAGTGACATCAAGGGAAACCACTTTGTTTCATTAATTACTGCATTTCTGAAGTATTTTGGTGTTCATGTTGATGATATAATCATTGGTAACTATTTGGTACAAGCCACTCTTCTAGTTCTTAGATTAGATTGACTGTTTTGGGACAGATGAACTGAAAGCTGAACAGTACCCCAAATACCAGGCAATTACCAATTACTAATTAAATATGTTCTACCATCTGATACGAAAATAAAACTTATTGGTGCAGTTAGCATTATTAAATTAAATTGTATACAAAACCTTAACAGTACAAGATGTAGTATAAAATATTAAAATACTGTGAATTATTTTATACATGGTATGCTGATAAATTAAATTGACACATGGAATCCATGTGCTTCATTATAAATAACATACAACTAGAGCCTACAGGGGCAAATGATAATCTCAGGGTATTTAATTTTTGCTCAGATTTACGCCTTTGGCAAATATAAATTACAAGTGAAATTAAAGGATTCAAGAGTAGACAGTTGCATTACTTGCGACCAAAGATCATGGAATATCAATTTATTATATGTCTGTCTTGACTTCTTATAGTACTAAAGATATGTGGAAATTCTAATTCAACATGCACAACATCAAATTATAGTCACCAATTAATCAAGAATTAATGAGATGTTACACTTCAGGGTATCAATCCACAGCTTGGCTAACACAAACTTTCAAATTAAAATGAAAGACTGACATTTCTGGTATGTCTTTCACCACAGATAAACCTGAATGGCATAGCTTAAAATGACCTTGTTGGAGTTATTTATACCTTTTACCTTGCAATTGGCCTTGACAACAAACTACTACAGGCTGTTATTTTCTTGCTTTAAGGTGTTAATTGCTATCAATTAAGGAGTAACTGCAACCAGATTACAGTTTAACAACTATTTGTATACTATTAACACCTTGTAAATGCCCCAGAGGCAACCAATGGGGTTCAGCGGAAGGCCATTCACTAATTCACACCTACTTCCAAACTTTGACAGCTATCCTCAAAATAAGCAGCCAGTGAGTGTTTATTGTTGTTTTTTTTTAAACCAGGAAAACAAATTACATAATGAAAGTACACTTTCACTGGCACTTTTGTGTTTGTACAGGTCAATTATGCTCAGATTCTCTATTAGAATCTAACTCACTGATAAGGAAGCATAAGCAAGTAATTAGTCATTTTTATGTAAAGTACAAGTACATGGTATTAGCATGTCCAGGACACACATATACTAAAGAGTAATTCACTTTGACAATAGCTAACAAGCATTATGTAATTTTACAAAGTGAGAAATTTGTATTCCAGACCCAAATTACTAATATAAATAATATAGATTTACAATATGAATTGCATAATTTTTCTTGCCAAAATTCTGGTGCTCATATTCATATATTTTTCTATGATTTCTTTTGGGTGAAATAGACAAAGTTTCCCATTGGCTGCAGGGCTGCGACAGCAAGTGATGTCATCTAAACATGTGGCAGACGGCCATAGCATGTTTACATATGAACATTTATCCATGAGCCTTTGCGGTTTTACGGTGTGTTGTTATCGCAGCCTAGGACTCTCCTGTACATCTACAGGTAATGATTTCTTCGCTCTAAGTATGTACACAACTAGAAAATATAGTTATTGAATCATAAATTCTTTTTAATCAGTAACCACATATTCATTTAGTGGTTTACCATTTATTTTCTGATTGTTAATAGCATTTTCTGGGTCAGCGAAAGTGATTACAAGGGATTTTATACATCCACACTATTTTTGAGGTGAGAAAAAAAACAAAGGCAACATTTCTTTTATGTAGTGGTACATATATATACAAGATCCAGTGGCCCATATCATGCAGTATTTTTCTATAAATGGTCTAGTTACTAATGGCACAACACATTTTATCACTATATTCTGCTGTTACTCAGTCTAATCGACGATTTGTTTTGATCTCCACTTTACCAAAGTACAACACAATTCACCTGGTAGTCACAAGTTTTAAATTATTAATTCACTGTATGCAAAGTATTTAGAAAATATGAGAACTAATCTTAGAGCTAGAGAATACCTGCTAATACCTGTTTCATTCACATTTACAGCTTATAAATTGCTGGCATTTTTCGGTCCCCACACAAGGTAAATGTTTTTACATGCATTCAAACAGAGAACAAGCAGTCACAAGTATGCAAATGTCGATAGGAGGCTTATTCTTATAAAAACAACATGATTTTAACTTCCAGTTTGCAAACAACTTTAAAAGCTGGTTGTTGTTGTTGTAACACAAAGGAATTTAGTCTTGCATAAGATAAACTGGATTTTCTAAACGGTTTCTGAAGAAAAGTTGGTATCTAGTACATGATGGCCAAAAACATTCAACAATATTGATCTACTTAAAAATGCAATAGGTCTAATGAAATCCTGGGAAACTTATTTAACACTTCTCGACATTAATTCATTAGAATTTTCTATATTTTCAATCAATGAATAACTGAACACACATGCCATAGAAATTGATAATATACACCAAAATCAATCTACAAAGACACAGTATATACTCAGCTATTTAATTTTAGCCCACTGTATGGTCTCAATTCTAGTACAACCCTGTGATGTTGCTAGATTTTACTAGATAGGTAAATTCACAATTTTGCAATGTAGCCAATTTTATTTAAAAAAAAATCATTACTAAGTAGTATATTGTATTATTCTCTACTACAGTTTTACATTCCATGAGTCAAGTTGAGGAATTTTTAATTCTGTTCCATTTTGTCACTTAGATAAGAATTCAAGCTTTTCTGAAAGACCAATGTAATCACAGTCCCTCTATCATAAATAGAGAGACTGTAGTGTAATCAATGGGTTCATGAAATCCGCATAACATACTAGTACTTAGCATTTTTTTCCAGAGCATTATCGAGTAGGGATCTTGAGTACTTTTGAGCAACTTGTCATTATTATCTGTTGTGAATAAACCAATATTTGCTTTAGGACAATGATCAGCCATTACAGATTATACAGTAAAACACTCCAGAATTGCAGACATTGGAGCTCCAAAAGAAGGGAAGGGCAAACTGCACAAGTTTTCACAGTGGCGGATCCAAGCATACACACACTTACACCTGTGCAGTAGTCAGATTCGCCAGGAAGTACCAAAAATGGTAATGATTTCCTGACTTTGAATGACACAGCATATCATTAACAGTCTCAGGCGGTATTCAGTGTCAAAACCCTGATCTACAACTGACTTGGGACTGTGTGTTTTTGCAGGCGATTCAATCAGCCTGAACAAAATTACCTAGTCATGTATTGAAAGCTTTGAAAGCAAAAGAATCAGTGTTCACGTTAACATTGATGTCAGCCATGCAAGAAACAGAACAAAGACCAAAGTTTTCCCTTCCTGCAGTAGTTAATTAATCGTAAAATTATTTAATTTTATTCTTGTGTTGAAAACAAAGGACAATTGACCGTGTTGAAAGCTAATCTCATACTCTTGCTATAAAATATTCTATTGTTCCACCCAAAAGAATGACGCTGCTTTAGTTGCTCAAAATTCTTGCATAAGCTGCAGCAAGCAAATACTGGTAATTACTTTTTTGGGGGCTGAAAACCATAACTATTGCTGAAGATGTAACTTATTTTAAATGAAAAGTTTGAAAATCTATGTAAACCATATGATTTCATTCGATATAGTTTTACTGATTTAAATATTAAGCGAGAATAAAAATTAAACAAATTTTTAACGAATGTAAAGTATTCTACAGTACTCGTGATTACACACAAGGAAGCTCAAAATGCCATAAACAGAATACTAGTATATATACAGAATACATCTTGGACTGAGCAGTCATTTTTGTTTATGTAGCTCCTTGGAGAGCGTGATTTCTTCTGGATTATTAAATAAATACAACTCCAGTGTTTGAGTAATAATGTGGAACTCCTCTTACCTTTAACCCCGCAAGTTGATTCGATTGGTTTCTGTGTATGGGGCAAATCAGTATGCTTGTAAATCACATGTGGTTTACTGTTCTCATCAGCCACCGTGTCTTTACTATCTTCACTTGGTAAAGGCTCCACATAATACTGTGTTCCATTTTCAGTTTTGAAGGCACCAAACTAGTTTTAAAAGAAAAACAAAACAAACAATGTAAGGCTTCAACATGGCTGTTTGAATTGACAGCTTTCAGAAGCATAAATGAGGAGATGGTGGCGCTAACTGTGCGAAAACTTTGCTATAGGACAATAGCCTGACCTTTTCAGTGTAACTAAGTTCAGAGTTCGGGACTTGAGTCATCACCAATAATAGCAATTCAAAAATCAATTATCATTCATTGCACAGACCAGTAATGCGAAAAGAAAAAATGAACCTAAATAATCCAGAATCAAGAGCTTGCACAGTGATTACTTAAAGCAAAAATAAATAGACATGCCAAAAATAGAATACTGCAGTGGTAGAACATATTTAGTGTAAAAGTTGAGCGCTAATGTATGTTGACAGTTGAAGCACACAGTAAGGAAATCCGTTTCCAATTCACTTTAGGGTGCTTTAAACATGAGCCAATATTATAAATAAATTTGGGTTAAAAAAATATCAGGTCTGCTATATTAAATTACTGTAAAAAATGTTAATGGTAGCCATGAAGACAAAATTTATGTGAAAGTCCATGTATTTAGGGACCCTAGTAACATTTTCACTGGCAATAATTTTTTTGCGATTTTCACTGTTTCTCACAAAAAAAAAGTAGTGCACAGTAACGGGTATGTTCCATAATAAACCTTGACCAAAATGTAGAATTACAAATAAATGAACTCCAATAGTTGTTGACAGTGTATGGTTGTCAGGTTGTGTAGGACTATACACAAAGTACACACAAAGGATGACAGTATTAAAATCCTTCTTTTATTGCTCCATCAAATATCTGCTTGCCGATCCACCTCCGATGTACCCCCCCCCCCTCAATAGCCCACCAATGATGGTCTATTCCTCATTATCTTTTCTTGGTTCAAGAATGTAATGTTTGAGAACGAACAAGAAATTATTGACTTGTATTGTTTTTAAATTCAAGCCATCGAGCTGAAGGTGCTGATTTGTCCACCTAAAATGCTAGTCACAGCAAATTATTTGTTTCTTGCAGCGGTCATGTATGGAATGAATGTCAACAATTTGTAAACAAATATGTAAACTACGGAGTTTGTGTATAAACGTACAGGTTGTGTACGGACGTGAAAGGAGGCTGCCTCCAGGGAAATAAAAGGTTATGACGACAATTTGAAAGATCATTTGCTCACTGGGACTTCTTTTTTACTTTACATGTTTAGCGTTGCAGAGGCAATATACCACACAATCAAACGGCGCAACTCCACTTTGTTTACATTCTTCAAATAAATTTACAATTGTAATCCCCGGAAACGAAGACAGAGGTCACTATCATGGCCCAGCTGGGAATTTACACCAGTTCGGACGTACTGGCTTTGTTCCAAATAGTCTGGCAGCAAAGCAGACCGGATTACATCGTTCACAAGTCACAAGGAAAGGCACATGTCTTCAACTTGTTTTGTTTTCTGAACGGATGCCGCTGCTACATTTAACCATGATTTAACATACATAATGAATATGATGCGATCTGGACCTCGGGAGATAGCGGCGTCCATTAAAATTGCGTAAAGTGTGATTATGCTGTGTCGTAAGGAATAATACTCACCATTCCCGCACACAGACTGAACACAGCGTTCGATCCCGGGTGTGAGTCGACATGGCCGGAGAAAAAACAATGACTTACTGACGGCTCTGTCAGTATTGTGTCGTCTCCATACTCCCCCGTTAAAGTATCATTAACATTTCCATGTCCCATATTCCCTGAATATTCAAACACAAAACTGCCAGCTAAAAATCCCTCATCTTCTCTCAAATTTAGATGGAACTTTTGACCGAATGCTTCGATAACATACGCCGCTGTAGAGTTCCAGCTCTCTTCCGAATTTGCTGCCTGTCTACGATTGCGAAAATGAAGATTTGAAGGGAATGTCTTGCCATCTGAGTTCACTCTGATAGGAAACACGACTTCATGGCCTTTGACGGACTGTCCAAGTACTCTCTTGGAATCCCCTGCGTAAAAGATGAAGAATCATAAATACAACCTTTTTCAGCTACGCGAGCAGTTCATTCAAAGAGCCTTATGCGAGTTTAAAATGCGTGGGCGAATGGTTTTTAAAACTTTCTGAGACATACAGGACTGGTCCAAAGTTATCAAAAGTCGAGTCAAGACCCATAAATCAACGAGAAGGTAAAACTACCTTTACATAACACACCGCGTCCAGTAGTTACACAGACTTCCATCGCGATTTCAAGGGGCGACAAACTTTGACACACAAGCGTACACTTACATATACAGAATATACAGAAAACCCACCTTGACCGGCCTGGACGTTCTGTGTTTGAAGCCCTAGCGCTGCTGGCTGCAACAAACACACGAGCAGTACTAAAGCAACCAACACAGAACACATGATCAACCTGTTACTACCGTACTCTGCATGCAAACACTGAAGGTCTTTCCCCGATACGATCAGCTGGAGCGAAAGTAGGCTTCAAGCCAAGGGAACTCCGTTACTGTAATATGGCATTTCTCCAAGACACCCAGCATCGAAATCAGCAAATAGCCCCGCCCCTGATTGAGACGCTTAACCAATCACCACCGACCGGACATCAAACAGTGGTAATCAGCAAGCAAATTGCAATCCAACACACGTTGTACACACAGTAATATCTCCTTCAAAGTCACCCGCGAAATATTCTGCTACAAAAGATGGTTGTTTTTCAAATTAAAGAACAATTGTTGGCAATAACAATAGATTGCGTTCCACGATTTTCGGCCCAAGCTATTAACAAGTACTTAATAACTGACATCTCGTCTGCTAAACGAAAGACCGATTGAATGGATGTTATTCGCTTTGACTCGGGAAGGGAACTAAATGAAGAAATTATAAATCGACGACCTATTCGTGGAACAAACTGTTTATATCGGCTGTATATCGAGTGTACGATTTACTGCATGTTATCGCCGTCCGAATCGCCGATTTTGGATAGTCAGAAGAAAACAAAGTTTTCAGGTAGAAATAATAAGCCGTAGAAAAGAAAACAAAGATTTAGAAAACTCTTTTCACAAAGTCTAAACTTTAAACCAGAGCCGAATTCAATGGTTCACGGTATTTTATTAGGAATGTGTTTTCAGATCATGTAGCCCCGAACAGAAGAAAGCACGGAAGAAAGAATTTTGTTTTGTCATGATCGACATGAAATTCTCTGAGACGGAGATGTCATTTTAAGAAGTTATGAATACATTATATGATATCTTTAAAATTACTAGAACAAGAAACAATATACGCATCGACAGGCTATTAAATTCGTCAAAACACAATTTATTTTAAAGTTTATTTGGTGGTTTACGAACACAGGAAGCGGTTCACGGCTTGCGCACATCCTTTGCTCCCTGACGACCCTTCCGACCGTTGTATCAACATACTAGTACCACTATCCATTATACGCATGTGTGTAAACAGAGCAGCTAACTTTCCCAGCACTATTTTTTAGGGAAATTGTAAACTACGTTTTGTGCAACAGTAACTACGTTGTTGGACGTGTGCCGCCTCGCTTGTCATATTCCTATCCGAGAAATGAAAGTACGGTGAATAACCCATGGTAGTGGAAGTATGCCAGTATTTTAAGAACGCGTCTAAGGTTACTGGTGTTTCATTTTTCAGATTCTGTGAATGAAATAACAATTTACAGTTTATGTATAGCACAAACAAGTACAATATTATGTATGCTGATGCTGACTCACATCAACTCACCGGGATGTGTATAGTCTGAGAAATAGATTTTCTCATAAATACATATGCCAATTATCAGTGGGGCATATATGTTGGTTTTACCGAATGGGCGAAAATAAATTGTCAAGCGTCAGGTGTGTATTAATAACCCAAGCATGTGACGTGTTGTATAATAGTCATACATAAGTGCAATTACTACAGTGAGGTGAAAAGCTTTGGAAAATTTCAATGCGCGGTTCATTCAAGCTAAACATGTAAACCAGCCCGGTATCACCGGATGTGGCCGGTCCCATTCTTACACGCCTTGAAGGACTGAAAAAATATTATCCGGTAACAGGAGGAAGACCAAACTGTGTGAAACAGTATTACGATTTATAATTTGGGTTGTGGTGTAATATGTTTTGGGGGAATCATACTTGGGTATGTCTCGCTTACTGTAGTGCGTTGATTCAGACATGCACCTGTTTTGCAGCACTTGCCCATTGTACGCCGCCGACTCAAAACCGGGTCTGTACTGTACGTAGTTTTAATAAATCTAACTATTTAAATATTTTTGAATGTGTTGTTTTGAGTAGTTAAAATTAGCAGAGCCACTGGTCAACAGTGGTCAACAGTTGTGTTTGTACAACCTTGTTACAGCGTCAAGTTTATAGCTCCAACAGCTATACACACCATACCCAGGCACCATGACGCAGGTTTCGAAACGTTTAGGTATGATTCAATAATTTATCCTAATTTATTTGATCATTACAACCTAACATCAAATAAAAGTCCGTGTCATCTTTGTACACATCATTCATAATGTACGCCGAGGTTATTCTGTTTGGTAAATACCAATCGCCCGGCTCCAGTGTGTAGATATTGGAAGGGCGCCCTCTGTTGTTGGACACACCTGAAATAAATCGAAGGATTCGAACAAATGACAAGAAATAAAGAGCCAAGAAGACTACACATGTTACAGACTGAAAAGTCACGTGATTTTCCAGATATTGGCCTACCCACCATCTCCAATGTGTTTAATATTCAGAAAAGCGTCCGTCACAAGCAACAAGACTGTGGAAAATTAATACTATATCCTCAACAGATTATGTATAGTCATGTGCTGCCAACGAACTTCTGACAATCTGACACGCTTCACAATCCCCCAGTCTGTCAAAAGATAATACGCATTTACGCAATAAAATTTAAAGCGCAGTACAAAATATCGGGAACTTTTGATCAGTCATGCACATTTTTCCATAAATGTCGGCCCGG